TGTTTGATGTGATGAAGAAAGGAGGTGCTTAATAGGAAGACAGGGGATGGTCTCAAAGTGCTGGACTAGGATTTTTATCAAATCATCTTTGCCCTAAACTTTAGTAAATGCAAGATGAAGTGGGCTCAAAAAATGATATAGTTACATGCCTGTGTCAGTGAGACAGTTAATCAGCAATATTTTGCAGAAAGTCTCTGAAAAATTTTGATACGAGCATTATGGAAATGGTTAATAGACAGAAATATGTTGTTATACTCTATTTTAAAGACTTGGATCTCAAGCCAAGACTATTCATTTTTTTGGTGGAAGAGGTTTTAAGAAGAAAGTATTTTATGGTTTTATAAACAATATCTCAACAACTGTAGGCAAAAAGAAGGAAAGGTTAGTCCATTTTGCAGAATAAGTGTGTTAAGAAATGGAATACATCAAGAACATCAAATAAAACTGCTTGGGTACATTGCTTAGAAGAAATACAAATAACAGATATGGCTGGCAATTTTTTTCTTGGAACAATCTTCTTCCCTCCTCTCTGCTAAACACCCTTTGTAGGGAGAGATAAAAATTAGGCCAAGATGGTTGTTGCAGACCAGTCAAAGTCAAGTAATTAAACATGTGAGCCACAAGCATTTGAAGAGTTGCATTGTTTGTTTTAGTAGGTCATGCTTAGAAGATAGAGGTGTCACTGGGATTTATATATATATATATATATATATATACACATATATATACATATATATAAAAATATGTATTCCTTATACTGAATATACTTATCCAATATAGAGAGTAGTATGTCCCTTTCAGTCTTCAAGTTTTCCTGGAGGAATTGCATTCTGAGAGAAATAGGGTTTGTTCCTTTTTTTTGTCGTTGAAGTATTAATGTATAATGAAATGCTGAGGACAAAAACTGGCTCATATTATATACAAATCCAAACAACATTGCACAACAAACTTCTATTGTAATAAAGGCTTGATTTGCTTTTCCTTTTCATAAGATCAGACGTGAAGGCAGAAAAGCAGAGTACATAAAGGTACCTGGTGAAAAACCACTCTGTCCTTTCCTTTGTACTGATGGGAACAATTTGTTAATTTCACATAAAGGATAGCTTGAATAGGCCTCAGAAACCTCAGCATGCATCTCTACCAGATGAATAATGTTTTTGAAAGACAGTTCATGATTTAACTCTCATTTTAAATACTAACATGACTGTCATGTAATGTATTTTGTTTTTCAGATTGGATCTGGTCACTTAGTAACCGTCAAAAGTACACCTCCTCAATTAACTGGAAGGCCACTGAATGTTACAGAACTTGCTCTTAGAAAGCTGCCTCTTTCTGAAGAAGCCTTAAAGAAAGATCAAAAGCATTAAAACACTGGACTTGGTCTAGAAAGATATGGTACCTGTGGAATAGTGTTCTGAACAGTGCTTTTATTATAGTTAACTGTATGTGTATTTTAGATACAAGATAATGTCTGTTTGTAATGCTTTGGTGAATTGCATAGAGCATCTTGAGAGCAAAATTGTATTTGCCTTAACTAATATAAACATGGGGATGATTTATTAATAAAGTACCCTGTACAGTATGGTACAAAGGTAGGCTGAGTCTAAAAATTTTGTGTGTTAGTGTCAGGTTACCGTGATCCACTCTCAGTAGGTCCACTACTTTGTTTTCCATCTCTTGTTGACTCATTCCACACATTGCAGTTTAAGTATCTCTTCCATTGAGCAGGGCGATGACCTTTCACATAAACACATTCAGTTCCTCATTTTCCTGGATCCCATACCCGTGTGGGTTTTGTCCCAGTCCATTTTGTTTCTTGAACTTTCATCTTTAGCATGAGGACGTCTGTTCTCTCACTTTTCATCTAAAGACTCCCTAAAAAGCTCGTTTGTGCTAAGTTTCTCCAAGCCTGTTGAAGACATGCTGAAGTGTCCTGCTCCTCAGGGATTTCTCACGGCTCTTGAACTGATCTTACTATTCTAATTACTTGTTGGGTTATTGCCCCTATTGTCTCCAACAGGAACTCTTTGTCTTCCACTTCTAGAATACCAACACAAACTTGTGAGCAGACCTTTTTGTACATGACTCAGTTTCTAAGCTATTGTCTCTTTTCCTAGCTTGGGCAAAGCCAAAAATTGCTATATTACAATAGTGCAAGATTCCCTGAGGCTATTACCTCATTTTAAAACCAGTTGCTAGCCAGTGATATGGCACAAAATTATGCGACATTGCAAGGGGTTCCATGACATACAAGCTCTGGCACATAGTCTGTCATTTTTGCTTGTAAGCAATGTTTCATGAAAGTATAAACTTTCACTTTGTTAAATGCAGGGTTGAAAAATGGAAACAAATTTGAGCTAAATGGATAGAATTTAGTACCCGACTCCCTTTCTCACTTCCTGAAAGAGCCATGGGGTGGGTGTGTGTATGAAGGGTTTCTTGAAAATCTGTTTGTCCATGTAACAAGACATACCAGTACCGGCATTAAACATAAAGGCAGTGATTTTTGTTTCAAAATTGTCTACTTAAATTCTATAGAAAGAAGAACCTGAATAAAATAATGAAATAAACCAAACCAGCCATATGAAATGGTACCTACTCCACAGGTGCAGTTTGCAAAGATCAGAAGCATTTTCTTATGGGCAGGTCTGTTAAACATTACATTGTAGAGTAAGTCACCTAGTACTTAAAGCTAGAGAAATCACATTAACTTAAGCTATTTTCATTTAATTTTTATGCTGGCCCTTTACTAACTGATAATTTCTAAGTATAATCTGTTTTCATGATGACTTTTTCCCCCCGCAAATTATCTGCATAATGTTAAAGTATGTTTTATTAAATAACTCTGAATGTGTATTTCTGGCCTGCCTGAAAGAAAGGTAAACTAAGGTATACAGAGGTTATTTAACTAAAGTCCTCTGTGTCAAGTAGTCTTGCTCAGTTTATTTTTCTCCAACAGCTCTTCAGCAGCTGTGCTGCTATATTACTGTTTTAGAGAATGGCAAAATATATCTACACATTGGGGCCACAAAAGTGCACTCTATTGTCTTTTCACAATTAAAACTGAGCAATACATATTTGCCTAGGAGAACAAAGACTGTGATATTTAGAGGTTTTTTTACACCCTTGCACATATGTGGATGTGCGGGTGACATTACTTCTGGCAGCATAGCAAAGGCCCATTTCTTCAAAAAACCCATACAGGACTCACGTAAATGCTACCAATTTCTATACAAAAGCTACAGCAATACCGTATAGCCAAGGTATAGATATAAAAGATCTTTTAACTGGAAATCAGTTTCTTTTTATGCTTATGTTAAAACTTCAAATCAGGCACAAAGTGCGCCCCACAGCACTCCTCCTCCAACTGTATTGTGCTTCTGCTACAGTACAGTGCAAACAAGTACCAGCAAATGCTCTTGTTAACTCTATCAAGGACTAGAGAAAGAAGGGGACAGAATTTCACGAAATGCTTACATTCACACTTGATAAATTAATATTAACACAAGCCTTCCCAGCAGCATACACAGCATCTGGTTTTGCCAGCCAGCCATGAACTGTGGTCTGGCTGTCAGCAGAGGAACCCCAAAAAAATGGGCTTGCTGTTCCTGCACAGGGGTGGAAAGAGAGGGAGTGCAGAGTACTAGTGGAGGAGGAGCTCACCCCATTCACTGTTAATCCCTCCCGTAGACACCCTAGGGGCAGCCAGCTGGCAGCATGGCTCTGTCATAATCAAAAGAGGTGAGTCCACCTGGAATTTGTTGTGCTGCTGCTGCTTACAGTGCTGTGTTCCTGTCATTCAGTCACCTGCCCCTTTGGCAGACACTGCAGGGCGCCCATAGCAAGAGATTGTTCAAGCATTCTGGAGCCAACCACGGTAGATGCTAAACAACTCTGTATCCTACAGAAAACTAATTAGAACAAAGACAATCTGAGGAAGGATGGAGCTTTTAAAACTGCATTAAACAGTTTTAAAACTGGCACTCAACTAAAAGATCACTAATATAGGAAACATTACCTTTAAAACGTTACTATAGTTCTACACATCTGTTGGTGATGAATAAAATTATCTGTAGGTGTGAAGAAGGGGAATTTATTTATCTGGTTTATGACAGCTAAAACACATTATTTGATGGAAATGCAACACAGTACACAGCTTCATAAAGTGGGTGTTATTGGAACAGATTAGACAATGGCTCTCAAATAGTTGCTCATCACAATCTATCAATTCCTGAAACTGCTGGGTTTGTGTATATCATTACTCCTTCTATTTGCTCAAGAGAAAAGGTGTATTTAAAATACTTTTTGTATCAGGAACTTACAGTGATATTCATGGGTGAGAGAAATTTCTCACTATTTTCGTGTCCTCTCCAGAATACTGTAGGAGATCTAATTTACAAGATGCAGTTTGATATTGTGTTTACCTAATGAGTGTTTACAAAATCTGTGAGATTTGTTGGATATTTTACAAGCTATATATGAGCTAGGCAAACCTGGGATGGATTTCTTGTTACTTATGAAGGTTAATATGTTGTTACTGTGTAAGTACTGTTTTCTACAATAATTAAACCCAGTTGGGATCTCATAAAAGGCTAGAACACAACAGGGACTGAACAAGCTGCATTGCCCAAGGAGTAAAGCAGAGAACAGTCTGCATCTCTGAGTGTTCCCATTTGTTCTCAGGCTTTCTGTGCTCAGGACAAATGGATTAACTCCATGGTTAATCTCCCTGAATTATTTTACCTATGCTGGACTCCTTCTTATAAAGGGAGACACGGCCAAGCTAATCTCTCACTCTTTCAAACCACTGAATGCATGGGTCTCTTCTTAACTGTGATGTTGCCTGCTGTGACAGGGATGGACTGTATCACCTTTTTTACCTGTATAAATGTGTACATAAAGAGCAGTCTCGTGTAAAATATTGTTCTTAATGTAATGTAGCAATGGCTTTACAAATAACATGTTATTAGACAAGAAAATTACTGCTATTCAGACCTTGCTGCATAAAAAAATACTTTAATTAATCCACAGCCTAGATTAAGCAGTGATAAATTACAAAGTTAAGACTGCACAGGACATTACAATAAGCATAATCCTTCCCTTTAGCTTGATGTCACACTTTTTTGCAATTCTTGAAGTTAATTTTATGTGCAAGACACTGTATAAAATGCTTGTTGACATTTTCTCCATTGCTTAAAGTATAAAAATATATTGGGCTTCTATCCAAAATGACTTTAAAAAAAGATAATTACTGGAAAAGATGAGCCTCTTCAAACATACGACACTGTTCAGACTTACAAGCTTACCTGAGACAACAAAAGTCTTAACTCAAAACACAAAAGCATTCAGACATGCAGTGGGATAAACGCAACCTTGACAGACTGCAAGACAGGAAAGCAAAAGTGACAGTGTGGCAGTTTACATACTTATCAATTTAGCAGTGATTAAATGCTTTACACAAAGAAAAGGAAAAAAAAAGAAGGTTGAACCATGCCAGTGGACTTGTCTAAGCATCTCGAGTACATGCCGTGCTTTGGTGCTCCTTCATTTTGATGTGCCTTCCTGAGGTATCTTTATTTTGACTAAAATGGGTTGGTGAAAGCAGACCCTGCAAGATTATGAAAGAAAAGTCATTATTTTCTATGCAAATTTCTAGGAATGCTAGAATTAAATTCTCTCCATGTATCAAGACAGGCTAAGAAAATTGGGGCTATTCTGTCTGCAGAAGAGAAGGCAGTGTGGTATCTGAAGGGGGCCTACAAGGATGCCAGAGGGGGACTCTTCACACCAGAGACAGTAGTGACAGGACAAGGGGAAATGGGTTCAAAGACAGGCAAAGTTCAAGTTAGATATAAGAAAGAAGTTCTTTACTATGAGGGTGGTGAGGCACTTTGGTTACCCAAAGAAGAGGTAAATGCTCCATCCCTGGCAGTATTCAATGCCAGGTTGAACAGAGCATCAGGTGACATGGTCTAGTGTGAGGAGTCCCTGCCCATGGCAGGGGGGTTGGAACTAGGTGATCTGAAGGTCCTTTCCAACCCAAACCATTCTATGATTCTATGTTCAGTCTGGAAACCTAAAACATCTGAAGAAAGTCCACTGCTAAGGATGAAGGGATCCAACAGATATAGGATTGGTTAGTAAGACCCTAACCCTACGTGATTTCAGTTCACACTCATCTCAGACCATGATGACCAAAATTTGTCACTGATGATTCACAATGACCATGAGATCATACTATGTATCAACAGTTTTAATGGGAAGAACAGGGTTCAAGCAGTCAGGTATTTGAGCTTCCCTTCTTACAGAAGGATGATTCCCCATAGTTGAGACTTAAGTCCAAACACCAGGAAACTTTTAGTACTGCAATGCCATTTATATGCACACAGTGACGGCATTCAGCATCCATTTCCACACACTACCACATGCACACCTGACATTTTTTTACATTTTGTTAAATTTAGTACCCTAACTAATTTTGGCTCCTGTATTGTGAAAGTAACTACCATTGAAAGATGCAAATACTTTTGACAGAAGTAGAGACAGAAAACTGGAAATGACTATACTCAGTTATCTAAACATTCAAGGACAAAGACGGAAGTGTTTCAGTTTAATGTTAGCATGTAACAGACTAACACTATATCCTATAGTTACCTTCTAAAGTTCTATGTGAGTATGTGGAAGAGTATTTGGGAGACGCTAATTGTCTTCTGCCCATTCCATGGGATCTTGAGAGCACACAGTCGACATACATATCCCAGAAGTTCTGGGCTAACTCATTGAAGAGTTCATTGTGCTTGGGCTTAGGGGATTCCTTTAGGAACATCATGAAGTCCCAGAGACCAATGACTGTATCTGCTACCTTGAGTTTCTTCATTTCCACCAGCCCATGGGATGAGACCTCCCAGCACTCATGGTCAATCTGACCCAGGCTTGGAGGAGTTTCTTTTTGATAGTCTAGATTGGCGTAAACTAAATTCAGCATCAATATACAGCCCAGCTGAAGATACCACCTTTTTTTCCATACAATTTCCATTGTCCAATAGGATACCTGAAAGAAAGTATAAAATCACAGTGATTCTGCTCATAGGTAGTTCATTTTCATACAACTTTCAAGGATACCCCAAGAGATGATTTATGCATTTATACAAGAAAAAAATTCTTTTGAAACCACAGATTAAATACAGTCAAGGAACCCTAATGCTGGTGCTAGATTAACACCTAGAAATTGTGAATGCTGTTTAGAACATGAAAACCTGAAGCTGAAAGTTTGAAGTGATTGTAACCTATATCAGAACTGCTCCCGGAGCTCAAGACTCCTTCCCTTAAAATCCTAAGCTTAGATCATCAGTTTGAATGTACCAGTACACTGCTGCAGCCATCTGAGGTCCCTAAACTCATTTACTTCTATCTCACCTTCAGGACTTTAGGAAATGAGACAGACAGATACCCCCCAATCTAACTCCTTTCCAAAACTTCACTTGCTAGCTACACTTCAGCAGGCAGCAGGATTACCTACCTCAGCGTCCCCAGAGTTTATGAAATGCATGGGGCTTATGAAAAGTTTCTATTCCCTGGGCTGTTAGAAAACTTGCTCCAGCAAACAAGCAGGGACAGAAATGTTTCTCCTCTCATTTCCACTTCACTAGGCAGAGGAAGGACACTCTAGCAATTTACCTACAAAGTAGGAAAACGGCAGCCAGGAAGCTGCCAATATATTGAGCTGGTCTGATTTCATGTCTCATGCTTTGATGTTTTAATCCAGTTAAAAACTAAAATGCCAAAGGTCCATTTGAATACATCAATCAGGAGCAGAGAGCACAACAAGCCTCACGGAGACTTTGAACTAGTAACTCCTACTATGCAGTACAAGACAGATGAGTTTGACAAAGGCAGTAACTAAAGAGCCACAGTAGAAGTTATACTTACAGTGCTCCTGTGGTGGGATGGAAAACAGTAGCCTTGAAACCACAACAGTCAGCCCCTTGGAGAAAAAGAGAGAAATTCATGAGAGGGCTGCAAGTGCCCGGCAGCTGCTGGATGCTCCGCGGGTGCAGGGATTACACTGCACAGGGAAGCCTCAGCCGCTGGCAGAGCAGCAGCAGCAGCAGCTTGAACTCAGGTCAGTGGGAAAGGCAGGAGGGAGCTGTGGCTGTGGCAGCCCCACCTCTTTCTGCAGCAGGCACCGAGTGTCAGCGAGCCTGGGCTGGGGCCTCACCCGAGAGACTGCCTCTGGCTGGGTGGGAGGGTGTCTGTGGTAAGGGGAGAGGCAGAGAGCTGTCAGAGGGAGGAAAATACAGGGGAGAGCAAATCTTTCTCCAAGTCAATGATATGAATGCTCTCCCCATTTTATAAACCCGAGTTTCCATCCACAATCCTGTCTGCGCCCCAGAACGGGTACCCATCAAAGACAACGTTTCAAAATACTGGAAAATGAACGTACATCTCAGAATCCATAGGCACAGTGTGCACCCACTATTCCAGATCCCTTTTCGTAGAAACCTCCTGACTTGAGATCAATTTCACATTATTTTTTAAACTCTCCTCTAACTTGGTTGCCAGGGAGGTTTTCAGTGCCGTTTTATTTGTGCTTGGCAACATCCCTTACAGAGGCTGGCACCAGCACCAGGGTTCACATCCCTCATATTCCAGCCAGCAGCAGCCCAGCTGTGCCAGTGGCTGAAGACTTCTTTTCTCTTGTTTCTGGCCAGTTATTTCCTGTTCTAAGGAACCAGACGCACGTGTAGAAGAGCTCCGTTTCCTCTGACAGAAGTTTATGAAGGAACTTACTTAGCTTTCCAATTATTTCTCCCATATATGTTCTTACGATACACCAGTTATAACGTCTCATCAGATACTGAAGTATAAGACCAAAAGTAAAGAGACCAGAGCATTAAAATTTGTAAAAAGCCTTGAGATTCTTTGGTGGAAGATGAGCTGTTAGCACAGTCTGCTCCTAAGGGCAAACTTCCTTCAGAACTCAGTCCTTGCAACTCCACACTCAGTGGGATGGATTTCTGGACCCTGTTCTAGGTATCTGTTGTGCCTAACTCAAGACAGGTTGCCCAAAATTGAGTTCTCCAAGGATGAAGATTATTACACCTACCTTGTCTTACACGATTAAAGCTTAGATTTGTCAACATGTACATTCAAATCACCTCTTAGATCACTAAGGAAAATGGATCAGGCCATATTTTGAAATGCAGGCTATTTTTGAGAGAACTTCTACACTGCATACATGCTTGTTGGGTTTATCTTCAGGGAGGCTTTTGCTTTCGAGGAAGGTCATCGGTCCTTCACCCTCAAAGGCATTAAGAGTGTATTCGCAGGCTGTCACAGTAAAACCATCAGCAGCCAAAATCATTACTTTACACATTTCTGCAAATACAATGAAATTCTGTGCTTCCTCCTAACCTGCTGTGGTCCAATGCCATTATAACATGCATGTAACCGTACGTACCTGCCTCTTTACATCACAAATTCCTACAGCTGGGAATATGCAACAAAATCAGTTATGAAAGATGGCAGGGCTATTGACCATGCCTCAGAAATGTTTCAGGATTTCTGTGCCCACTTCTGCACTAAAGGATTGTATCCAAAACACTCAAGTCCTCCACTTTGCTGGTGCCTCAGTGCAGCCTACCACTATGCAAGGGAAGAGGTTCATAACCTGAGAACCACTGCGTAACGGATCTACCAGCTCTTTTCCTATTGCATATTATGGAATAAAGCTGTTTTACTTTCTCCTTATCTAATATGGGGTGGAAATGGCTCCTTCCAATAGAAGGCTGAGAATTCCTGTGACCCAGTGCCAGTGGTACCACAGTGATAATTATAAATAAGTGAACATCATTGGTCTAGTGACTGCTTCACAGAAATTATGACTTTTAAAGGCTGTTCAGAGCTTCACTGGCACAACTTGGCATCCCCCGCAGCTTCTCTTTAAAGAAATGACATGAAATTTCCAAAGGCTACCGATCAAAGTATAATTAAATGCTGTATCGGGCACACAACAGAAAAACTCTGCAACACTGGGTCCACGTAGAAATCAACCCCCTCCGAAACTATGCACAAAACCAAAAGCTCTCTTCAAGAGAATGTGTATAGTTTGTGTATAGTTCGACATAGGTAGCTCTTCTGTATGAGATGCTGCCTGAAAGAACAGCTCTACAGCAGGAGAGGGCTGATGTAACCCGACTGCAGCTGCTCCCTTCTTCAACTCGAGTGTCACCCAACAATGAGGACTGTGATTTATTTTTCTGTGCAGTACACTACCATATATTAAAAAAACCCACAATGTACCCAGAATCGTGATGTCTGAAGCACTTAAGCATGTAAAGCCGGTATGAGTCCCAGTCCCAGAGAACCTCCTGTCCCTAAAGGAAGGCATGGCTGATGACAACATCTGACAAACACACAGTGGAATGGGGGCTGTCAGGGTTTCGCAACATGCTTTAGTGGAGCACAACATGACAGGAACAGACTGTTCTTTCAAGTGGAAATGCAAAAACTTTTGTCATGAATACAGTACAGTACTAAAGGCAAATACAAACCTGCTCTGAAATGACAACATTCAGAACTACTGCCTACTTTCTGGAAGCCTTTCCAGCTAAACCATGTAAACACCGTTTCAAAATCTTGTTTAAAAAAAAAAAGCCTGATTGGAACCTACATGGCTATGGAGAGGAAAACATCTGGAAGCCTGGAATAGCTTATTTCTGAACTCTTCTATCATTGAGCGGAGCTAACGCTGTATTAGATGTAATTACTCCTTGAAATTCTAAAGCAGTTTTCACAATAGAGGAGATTAAGATGCTAGGATGGCTGGACAAGGAACATACCTTTAAGAAAGCTCCTTCATATCATTAATCAAAATAGCTTTCAGTAAGTTTTCAAGTTAAGAAAAGTTTCTCATCTTTTAGTTTGCTCTATGCACCACTGAATTTATTAGCATGACCAATCTCACAATGAAACAGCCAACATTGCAAAGGCATTTAAAGGTATGTAAAGAAGAAGGTAGTTGCACAGCTGCCTGGCCACTGCATCAACTCCTCTTGTCATTTCATTCCCAGTTAAAGGATGTAGGTGTAGTAGCACAGGACACTGGTGCAAACAGTGATTTCATTCCACTCCAACAGCCTCTGATGGCTGCCCTCAATCCCTTTTCTTCATCTGACAGATTTATTTTTATCACACTCCTCTTGCTTTTCCTAATCTAGTAAATAAATTCACCATTTATAATCTTAAAATGAGGTATTCCCAGAACACAACTACAAAAATCAAAACCCTAAGGGAACAGATTTTCCTCAAGAAAATCCTTTCAAATGAAAAAATCCCTTTTTAAGCACCACCTCATCAACAATGCTCTCTTCAGAATATATTTATGTGAAAATTCTCTGATATCTAAAACTTCACCTCCCAAACTGAAACTTGTTCTGAAGGATGACTTTCAGATTTCATTTTCCTTTATGCTACTGTGCATTTTGTCAGTCAAGCACTGAGGAATCACAGACTCATAGAATCACAGAATGGTTTGGGTTGAAACAGACCTTAAAGATCATCTAGTTCCAACTCCCCTGCCACGGGCAGGGACACCATCTGCTAGACCAGGTTGCTCACCTATAGGAGGATGCCATCTGGAGCAAGGATGAACCCATGAATTTAATATGTCAGAGATTAAAATTACTTGCAACTAATAATCCTGCAGGATGTTACATTAATTTTGTAAGATGAAGAAGGCACTGATCATATTTATTAGGTAAGTATTGTTAATACAGTTTCTGTTTCAGAACAGGTAGAGTCAAGGAAAGTCAATCTATCACCATCTTCATAAAATCTAACATACTTTAGAGCTACGTAAAAGCTTGGGTTGTAGATGAAAAACAAAATAGAAACCAGAAACCCTGTCCACATACTTGAGAAAGCAGATTTTTTTTTTTCTCAGCTACTGACTAAATATAAATGGTATTTAGAGAAAAAATGTATTTTGCTCTCCATTCTGCAGGGGTTCAGGAAGAACGTCAAAGATCCAGCAGTGTACATCACGCATCAAACCACAGCCTCCAGCACAGCCTTTTCACACAGTAAGTTTTATGAGATTAAAAACAAAAGTGGCTATTGCTGGGATTTTTAGTTAACTGATAACCAAACTTAGGCAAAATAAAATGTTCCCCTCCAAATTCTTCCAACATCAATGGTTCTTCTATAGCATGAGTTTTGAACCGTTGCTCTTCAAGTTATATTATTGTAGTTGAGGTGCCTCCACCTAGTGGCACTTTGTTGCACTGAAGACCATATCCTTGTCATTGGTTAAACCTCTTCAAAATTCTTTAATAAATAAAAACATGAAAGTAATACATCAGGGGTTGTAGAACATCTGGACCTTGAATTTGTTGGTGTAGTTATTTATTCCAATTACAAAAACCTTTGTGCCAGCTTCCTACCATTGCAACAAGCCGTTGTGCGCATGTTCAGACAGGCAGGGCAAAAAAAACTTACTTGCATTTTTTAATTATTTCAACTCCAATTTAAAACAAAGCCATGCTGTCGAAATATTTCAGCTTATTTTTAAAGTACCTCCATCGAAGTTACTTCTTCTCTAGACTAAGAAAAACAGCACATGAAGTATGAATTTCAAAAGAAAAATTATGCTGGAAGCTTTAAAACTGTTGCAGGATGAGGTTTTACAGCTTCTTCTTGTCAGAGCTGGTGACAACACAGAACTTAATGAGTTGTATCATAAGAGAAGTGAGACAGAGTGGTCTCATAAGAGAAGTGAGACAGATTTGATGAAGCAGTACCCTTGTGATTTTCAAGCAATCATATACAAGTATGTGAAGTACACACTAAGAACAGCAAGAGTGGGAACTGAAGCATTATTTAGCATGAAAGTCAGAATGTGCATTGACTACATAGCACTCAGCAAGAGATAGCCTTTAAAATGCTATCAGACTTTTGTGTAACTGAAGTATAGATATCTCTGTGACTACACATCTGCACACTCTTGCGTAAACAGGATTCACTGAAGATGAAGAATTGACTCACCCTCTGCATTACTGATTAGCAGCGTCTCAAGTAAAGCACCACAGCGTGATGTTCTGGGTCAGGCTTGACAGTGAAGTGCTTGCAGCCCTGTTACTGAAGTTCAAGTACAGCACACCCACTGCTGATGAAGGCGCCAACGCAGACCAAAAGAACAAGATGATAGAATCAGTGCTGTCCTGGCAAAACAGCCAGAGTCTCTTCAGGTGACCAGACACATTTCTGAAGCAAAGTATTTAGAAAATAAACCATCTAAACATCCTCAGAGTTTTAAACAATTCAGTTTCAGCCAGTTTTTGCACTGTATATGTGTGATCATGTACTTACTGGTATAAAAAGTTCCAGAAAATGAAAAAAATGGCACATTTCAAGTGAAATG